TGACAACAGATAAAATCAGCACTAAAGTGAACAAACCAGTTTAAACAGATGTGTTTTGAGCTGTGACTTAAACACGGAAAGGGAGTCAATATTTCTTATGGTTGGAGGAAGAGAGTTCCAGAGCCGAGGAGCAGAGCGACTGAAAGCTCTGCTCCCCATAGTGATAAGGCGTGAGGACGGAACGGTAAGACGAATAGCAGATGATGATCTGAGAGGGAGGGAAACAGTGGTGATATGGAGCAGGTCACACAAATAAGAAGGAGCAGATTTATGGACACACTTGTATGTAAGAAGTAAGATTTTAAAATTTATCCTGGTTTATACCATATATATATATATATAAACATACACACATATATACAGGGTGGGCCATTTATATGGATACACCGTAGCAAAATGTGAATGGTTGGTGATATTAAAGTCCTGTTTGTGGCACATTAGTATATGGTGTGAAGATACGAGATGTGCAGCACCTGAAACTACGGATGCTGGATGCCTGTGCTGGCATTTCTCCTGCGGTGTTGCTATCAGTGTGTGAAGAGTGGGAGAAGAGGGTTGCATTGCCAATCCAACACAATGGGCAGCACATTGAACACATTTTATAGGTGGTCAGAAACTTGTAAATAACTCATGAAAGAATAAAGTTATGTTGAAACCAAGCACACCATTGTTTTTCTTGTGACATTACCAATAAGTTTGATGTGTCACATCAAACCTATTGAAAAAACAAAAGTTGTATCCAGGATGGGAGTTGCTTAAATTGCCTGCCTCAAAGCTGACATGATAATTTGTTATCTGCTGATTTTATGGTTATTTCACTTTTGGCATTGCTACATGTCATCAGATGTAACTGACATACCAATGTCTCAATGCCCACTCGACACGATGTACCTTTCATTTTTTTTTTTTATTATAAATGTAAGCCTTAATTAACCCCTCTTAAGTTGTCATTAATGGAAAAATTAGCTTTCTGCTATAAATATCTGTATTAATGGGAATTAACTGTTTAACAAATTATTTAACTTACTGTTTAGGGCGAAAAATGGCGATCAATCTGGGAAAATACAAACCAAATATACTGTTACATGGACAAACGATATATATCTGCTCATTACTGTATAAAAGACTTTGGTAAATGTACTTTTTCTTGGCTAACTGTATTCATAATGTCAATGTTGTTTAAGCGCTTTGGTTGAATGATGTAGAGAGTTAAGTCATGTTTGAACTAAACTCTTAATTAAACTGTGTGTCCAACTTTCCTTAAACATAGTGGAACATAATCTGGGGATAAGGAATAATTTTACATCTTTTTTGGGTCATTGTCAAAAAGCTTTAATCAAACTTGTTTTATGTTTTATGTCTCATCCACCCAAGTTAAAATTGTGGCTCTATTTCCGTTTAGGCAGGGGCTTGGTCCTGGGATCCGACTATAACTTGGAAAAAAACCCAGCAAGTGTGTGCACACACAAAAATAAAGTGACAAATCAAAGAATCCATATCTGTAGAGCTTCCTAGAGGCGTCCTCCTATGGCTGCAGAGAAAGATTGTGGTTTGTGAAGCAGTTATTAGTTCTGGCTGTGTTTTCTAAACCCAGCCATCCACCCCAGCCTCCAACATAAACGTGGCAACACATGTGACACCTACAGATTCTTTATACTTGAATTTCTGCACATAATTTGGGAACTTAATTGTGTTTGTTTTCTTTTTTTCATAATGATTAAAATTCCCCAGGGAAGATGATTTTGCTCTGACATGCATGTTAAAAAAGACACTAAATTCAGTTTTACTATCAAGTTTTAATCCATCCAGTTAATTCAAAGGCACTAAGGGTGAAAAAAAAATAACACATTCATTTGTTTCACTTTCTTTTAAGCTCTATTCCTCCATCTTTCCTGTCTGTGCGTTTCCTGCTTACCAGTAGGTGGAGCTTGTCTCCTTTGGCTTGAGAGAGCGCGAGAAGGAGGGAGAGAAGGAGATGATTAAAGAGAGAAGAAAGACAGCAAGAGGAGAGGCAGAGAGAGAGAGGGAGGGAGGGAGGGAGGGAGGGATGGAGAGAAATGGGGAGGGAGGGAGTAGAGAGCAAGCGTCAGCACTCCATGTGTTAAAAGGGCAGATGGTAACCGCGGGTAACTGAGGAGCAAACCACTCTGCTGGCCACAGAGCAAGAGATCAGCGGAGAGAGGGAGATAGAGGGAGGGAGGAGAGTGAACACATGCAGCGCAGCAGAGGAGAGGAGCATCTGAGAGGAAGCTGCACGCTTGCTCTGACAGAAAGAGAGGGAGGAGAAGACTGAGTACTTCTTCTCCACACTAACAAGGAGGCAGAGAGCAAAAAGAGGGGCAGAGACAGAGGAGATGCTGAGATAGTAACAGGAGGGGGAAAAAGTATCCCTCCCAGCCACTTACAGAGATACAGAGATACAGAGACAAAGAGGGAGGGAAAACAAAAGGGGCTAGAGAGATTGTGGAGTGAGGAGAACGGACGGGAGATAGTTAAAGGAACTGCAAGACTGATCAATAAGCGGCTGAGATTTCGGGAAGAAATTTAGACTCAGCGAGAAAAAGAGAGCGAGCGAGAGAGCGAGAGAGGGAGTCAATGACAGGGAAAGATTGATTAATGAAAGATTTGAGCAAAACATCTGGAGAAGGAGACTTAAAGAGAAATATTTAAGAGGAGACAGGGGCATCTAGCGGAAGGCAAATTTAGAAAAGAAAGGGAGAAGAATTAAAAAAACATTTAGAGAAGGACAGGAGGATAAGAGTGGAAAGAAAGGGGGAGCAGAGGGTGAAATATTTAAGAAGAGACAGAAGCCGAGGGGAAATGAGCAGGAGAACGCAGAGTTAAAGAGTCACTGGCAAAAACTTAGAGAAGAGAGAGAATAAATCAGAGCAGCAGAGGCAAGGGAAACTGCGCTCATCCTTTCTTTTTTTTAATTTCCTCTGTCCCTCCTCTTCTTGATAAAACCTAGGAGGGGAGATGAAGTGAGGAGAGAGTTGAGTAGTACAACATCAGAAGAAGGAGAGGAAGCAGTTTTCAAGGGTTTTTTGGCAAAGTCCAGATAGATCAAGAGAGTTCTAGATAGATATTTAACTGCATGAAAGAGAAGTATATCCAATGGCGTGCTACTACATTGTGATCAGTTCCACCCACCTGCGTGACGGACAGCTGAGGAGCATCAAGGGGGTGTTCAGAGGACCAATAGGAACCAATGGCCAAAGAAACACGGTAAGACCAAACAGCTACTTCTTTTATAGATGCAGAGTTTGCAGAAAAGAAGGGAAAAAAGTCACATAAGTGTAACTGCGTTTGACGTCCAGACTATTGGAGTCTTTCTGGTATTTGAACTCGAGGCTTTTTGGTGGCGGGAGGTTAGTTCGATTCTGTCTACATTTAATTGGCATAAATCCAGTTTAATCCAGAGTTCAGATGTGTAGCTATTAGTGTTTTAACTTTCCTGCAACAAACACGTCCAGAAAATCATTACCTCGAAATTATCATTAGTTAAACCACTCCCACTCACTTGATTGTCAGCTCCTTAATCATAGTGTTTGTAGAGTTAATTAATTGCCACTTCCATTAGGTTAATTGACTCGGTATTGGAGGCAGAAAGATCCAGATGGGGGTGGGGAGGCTGGTGCGGGTCCCCGTCTGTTGCATTAAGAGCTTCTCTGGCTCCGAGTCCGTGCTCAAACATGCCCGGGATTAGATTTTTTTTCCCTTTTAACCTTTCAAGTGTTTACTGATTGAGCTCAGTTAAAAAGTCAGGTAGGTGTTCTCTCTTTACATTTGCATTTATCCTCCGTTCGACACGCCACTTCAGCGCTTTTACAACAGCACTCTGTTTCAAACACATGCACTTGGATCATATTCGCTCAGTTTTCTGCACATCTTGTAGTGTAAATTTCACCTTTATCTTCTTATCACGAGCCTCCTTATGTTAATGAAGTGGGGAGTATCTAAAAATAAAGTCAGATAACATTTAGAGACTAATTAAAAAACCCCTCGCTGCATTTTATTAAAACCTGAATGAAAATCAGTTATTCAGAACGACTGTGGTGTCATGAAACTGTGTGGGATGCTTCGACCCGACCAGATGAGTCACGCGCGTCTTGACTCTTTTTTTCTAGTTCTCTTAACTCAGACTAAACCTTGTACTTCATTCGTGCTGACTGTTGCAGGCAAACATAATTACCGAGAGTCCTTGTAGAGATGCGCCAAAGATTCCAACAGGCTTCAAAGAGACACATCACATGAGACGTCAAGAGGTTGTGTAAGGGCAGAACTACAGTAAGCTCATTAGGCATAAAACACTTGCTGCGAGGTTTAGAAGAAATAAAACGAGTCTGTCATTTTAAATCGATCAAAAGTTTCACGCTTAACCCTGGCATGGCAAAAACATGACTGATTTTATGTTCTATCAGCAAAAGCGCTGATGGGAGCTGTGCATTTGGCCATTACAAATCAATTAAAAGCCAGCGTTCTGCTGATAAAGAAGTCATTTTAAATCTCTACTCCATCTCTATCACTCCAACCAGCTCGCCTCATGTGATAGGACCGTTAGATCATATTTCACCTGTGTCGATACTTTTAATAGCAGCCATTGATCATAAATGACGATGGCTTGTCATGGTGAAATGATAGGGTTATAAGTCTTCAGGAGAGCCCGGCTGGACAACAGAAAATCAACAATGCATTTGACTTAGCGTGCAATTAACTAGAAAGCACAACAGAGCCCACAGCAGCGGCGGAGCGCTGTGCAGCCAAAGCACTGTGGATTGTGTTATTGTGTTTTTAATAAAAAAGCAACAATGCACAGACTAAGTTGTTAAAATTAAAGTGGATGTAAGTCCATGCACACTGCACCAGCATGTAATGAAGCATTAATATTAAAGCCCTTAATTAAATTTTTGTACTATCTCCTCCAAACACCCCCTCAACCACCCTTTTTTTTGTGTGTTTACGCTCTATATTAACTAGAGTGATATAAAGAAGTGATTTCTTATCAAACACTTTTATCAGCAATGCTATATCTTCCAAATTTCCTAAAAACAGAGTGAGGGAAACAACAACAGGAAAAACAAAGCCTGCGTGTTTATCTTTTGGGGATTTCTGCTTGCTGAATCTGTCAGCGTTTCTTAAGAACTCGACAAGTTATTTCTTAGTGTCCTCAAAAAACTGCGACTGTGTCTTGTGATTTCACCCTGCTGTGACTGAGGTTTGGTTAGGCTAGAAAAAGATCACAGGTTTTCAAAGTAGGGGGATTTTTGATGATACGGTGACGATAATAAACACTTGACTGACTTCAAGGATAATTATGGTCATGGTTAGGAGATACTAATGTTGTTTTTTGGTTCTGAATAGTGAGTGAAAGTGGAAAATCAATGACTGCAATATAGTATTACTCTTAAGAATACTTGTTCATGGTAAATGGTAAATGGCCTGTATTTATATACTTTACTAGTCCCTTCATCCACCCATTCACACAATGGTGATGGCAGCTACATTGTAGCCACAGCCACCCTGGGGCGCACTGACAGAGGCGAGGCTGCCGGACACTGGCGCCACCGGGCCCTCTGACTACCACCAGTAGGCAACGGGTGAAGTGTCTTGCCCAAGGACACAACGACCGAGACTGTCCAAGCCGGGGATCGAACCGGCAACCTTCCGATTACAAGGCGAACTCCCAACTCTTGAGCCACGATTGCTTGCTGGATCTCTGTGGGTTCAGACCTGTTAATTTGGCCAGGAAACAGAGGAACAGAGCAAAGGAAAAGAGAAATGTTATCTCTGTTAAATGCTGCGTATTTGTTGTTGTTAATTAAGTATCGTCTGAACCTTGACCCACTGTTGATGTTTGGTGAAATCCAACAAAAAGATCATCCAGCAAACATGACGTTTAGTTTGTTGTTTGTGGTCTCTCCGTGCTGTCTTTATCTCGAGTTTCCCCTCATAATCCATCATTTGCGCTATTGCAGCCGCTCCTCCCTGCGCCTGGGCTCTTCCTGTTTGAAAGTGAGTTCTTCCTCCTCACTATTTCCAAGTTGTTGCCCATAAGGGCTCATCATAGTTTTATGGTTCCCCTTCTAATATTTTAGTGTCTTTATCTTACAATATATAGTAGAGTAAAAGACAAATAATACATTAAACGAATTAAGCAACTAACCTTTGCTTAACCTCTTACTACTCATTAAAAAATAGCTGCTGTGATTTTAGTCCCTATTAACCTCTTTACATCCAGGGGGTCTCTGGTGATCCATCAAAGGTTAGTTCGTGTTTTATTTCTTTCTCATGCTAAATAGACCAATTTTTAGGAACTTCAAGTTAAGAGTTAAGTTGGATGCTCCATGCAGACAAAAACTCCGGGCTTTAAACCCATAGTCTGGCAGCACAGTTTATAGAAATAGAATGTTTATTTTAAAAATATTACTACACTTTACTGAGAAGCAGTTTGAAATCTGGATATATCTATTTTAAAAATAAACAGATACTGTGCAGGTTACCGAAGTGGCATAAGTCATGTGATGGAGAAATATATTCTGTTTCATTTGAATGTTATTTTCCTAACTTTTGGTTCTATATTGGTGTACTTCTTTCAGTCCACTAACTATTAAAGCAACTAACTTTCACTTCAGTTGCCATTCTATCTCTTAATCAGTAATGCAGGAGCTCTGTTTGATCTGTGCATTTTTGGGGAAATGTGTTGAATATTTGGATAGGACAGGACAAAGGATGAAATGTACTGCAATATCTGCTCACAGTGGGGAGATGGGGGGGGCATGCCTGGTCTGAAAAAATGCTTAGCTGGGTGGTATGTGTCACATGAATGTCAGGACCAAGTGTTTCCCAGGAGACGATTGTGTTGTAATGAGATGATCAATTTTATTCACTTCAGCTGTCAGCGGTTTTAATGTTTAATCATGTTGAAATGAAGTTCATATATTTATTTATATATATATATATTCTTATATATACATTGTTAAGTTATCTTCTTGACAGGGCCTATTTCCAACTTTTTTCTAACTAACTTCATCACCGAAGCCACATTTCTCATTAAAGACTGTCATAAAAAGCAAAGAAAAAAAGCAGATCACTTACGTGTAACACATTAATTATTGTGCTTCATTAAATAGATGACAAACTAATGAAGCTGTTATAGCAATTTCAACAAGTTAGAGCTTTCAGACTTGTTAAATGATATCCAACTAAGAAAACATAAGGTAAACTTTCCACTGCTAACAGAGTACCATAAATAAAATGTTCTTTAATTACCCACAGAAGCGAACGGTGGCATTTCAGTGGCACGTATTCAACTCTGTTCGTCACGTAATCCAGGAATAGAAAGCTATATCAAGAGTTTTAATTGGCAAACAACCACACATGACTATCACCAGTCACCTTGGATCCTCATATACCCAAGCTAATTTTATCCTCAAGTTCTTTAGCGCAGCCAGGTCTGATGAAATTGCATGAAATGATGAGGTTTTAAAAATTCAAATAACATGGCCTGTGCACAGAAAATGAGAGCGATATGTTTGCGCCAGCACAAAAGAACTGCATGAGAGAGACATGAGCAGAAATAGGCAGCAGAGTCTGACGCCAAAATAGTGTTGGGATCAGTGGGATGGATGACTTTCCTTCAACTCAAATGACTCAACTTGACTCCTCGTTTAGCAAACGATATTTTTAGCATTTTTTTTTGTTTTGTAAAGCATGATCAAAAAGTTACCTTAAACAGTTCGAATTACTCAACATAACCTTTTCTCAGAGTTGGTCGTATCAATTACATTACTGTACAGTTATCCAGTTATCACCCGTCTTTGGACACAATCTGATGACAGCTACACACCTGCAAAGTTTTAAGAGTGCATTTTGCATGGCTGAGTTGCTACTGTGGTGAAGACATCTGTCCACAGACAGACAGACAGACACATATTAGCATCTGCTAAAATGCCCAGTAGAGTAGGTGTCCTCAGGTCTGGTGGGGAAAAATGGGCATGGTGTGGTAGTGGATTGGTAGTCTGTAGGTGCAACCAGTGTTGGTCAAGTTACTTAAAAAAAGTAATCAGTAACTAATTACCGATTACTTCCCCAAAAAAGTAATCCCGTTACTTTACTGATTACTTATTTTCAAAAGTAATTAATTACTTAGTTACTTAGTTACTTTTTAAAAACACG